AGGCTATTTAAACTTCAATCAGTCAAGAGGTCAGGTTTAAAGTGTATTATAAAATGGCCTCCTATGTTTTGGTTACGCCACACTGACAAATGTTTTTCATATCAATGATAACTTAAAACAAACTTTCTTAAACAAACATTTTTTACTTAAAGCCCCACAATAAGCCGGACAAAACAGAACTTTACTCAGGCACTGCTTCATTTATTCTGACTACTCTGATTGAATACCGTTACCTTTAGGCTATAAATGACTCCTTTATCAATGGATACAAGCAACATATTAGCTAATTGGTGTTCGTAAATGTTAATATTTAGGAAAAGTAAACGGCCGACAGTACACCCAACACATAGAGTCCAGCTGAGCCTCTGGACACAGCGAGTTATCACCGTTTCTTACCTGCGGGGTCTCCATGAAAACACTTTGTCTGAACTTTCCACGTCGGATCTCCATCTCCAGCGCGGAGCCCCGAGCGACAGTCGCTCTCGCTGTCTGATTTCGGCAAAACATTCGCGATTTTTAGTTGATCCTTCACTCCAAAACAACGCTGTTTATTCTCATAGACCTGAGACCAAACCTCAGTTTGGAGACGCTCCACGTTGCAACGGATCACTGTCACAGTCACGTTCGTTCATGTAAGATGACGTGCCTCGATCCCTCTATTTTCTGTTAAAAAACTGTAACAGCAAAAACGGATGATCGCAAGCTTCTCTGCTGCTCTCACTCGTACTTTAATCTCGCATCTACAAAGTGTGATTGAATTCCCAGAGCCAGGTTTTTTTTTTTTTTTTCCGAGATTGTGAGCCAGGTAAAACAGCGTCCTCTGTCGGCGGATAAGCGTTAGGCTATTTCAACAAAACAGGCTTATGAAACAAGCTACATTTAAAACTTTGATAGCTTTACAGTCTATGGCTGATACATAGTTACCTTGACTCGACAAAATGGAACATGGGAATCACGTAAATTCATGTGATTCAGTATCAGAAAACTCACATTGTCTACTAAAATGGGGACTGGATTAAACAAAACATGTAGGATGAGGCCTGTTCCATCTGCTTAGAAAATGTGACTACAGTCCAAAATCTTATTGGGGATTACAGTGACTTGAATTAAACCTAACAATTCAGTCGAGGCTAAAGCGGTTCCATGTCAGGGCCTACAATTTAAGTTCATCCTGCATATTGGTTCAATGAATCAAGATTGGATGTGCACGCTTCGCTATTCTAAAGCAACCCTAAAGGTCGATCATGGATCAAATCCACTATGGCAGACAGCACATATTTTGTGGATTTGAGACATGGTGTTTTCTTCAGTGCATAACTTACATGTCACAGGTTTATTCTCCATCTGTAAAAATGAGAAAGTCATGCAAATATGTCCATGATGTGCAAATGCTCGCCAAACAGCTCTATAGAATAGGGTCGCAATAATTTGAAAATATTTCAGATATTTCTAAAATAAATATATCTTGCTAAAACATTTGTTGTTGGAAATTAATTTTTAAACCTAAAAGTAAGTGTAATTTTATGATAGCTAGCAGTAACTGTTAAGGGATTATTGTTATGTGGTAAGTCATTGGCCTATAAATACTGTAACTGTAAGCCTATAATTACTAAGCAGATGAGTTAATGTGTTGTGAATAGACAAAAAGTTCTAAACGTTGTACAACAATGGGCATATGATAATGTTCAGAGAGCAAAACAAAATCACAATTCTCTTTCAAAAATGCCAAGAAATTATTAAGTAGACTAAAAAGGGGAAAACACTTAAAACACACTGATATGTTGATATAGGCATAGATTTGTTTCATGTTGTGTGTCGTGTCATGTATCATGTACTTCACTGAGATTTCACTCTGTGTGAAACTTCAAAAAGCAGCTGTTATACTTCAATCACATCATTTTGGGTGTTTCTGCGCACCCAGGAACCCTGCATCTTCCCTTCTTCTCACACATTATTTACAAGTGTAAGGTATTGTCCAAGCGGACATCCTGGTTAGGTATAGGGTTGGGTCCCTGCTTCATCCTCTTCTCCTCATACTGTTGGGAAATCCTACCACTTGTGTGTGCATGGGACCTTAATGGTTTTCTTAATGGTTACATTTGACTGCATGCAGCTGAGTAACTTGAACGTAGGCTGTTTTGTTCCTAGAAGGACCCATGTTCTTTTCAGATCAATGGAATTTCCTGGCAAGGGATTAAAGCAAGAGCACCAGTGGAACTGAGCTAAACCAGTTGAAAACAGCTTGAAATGTCTATTATTTTGTACTGGTTCTGTCAGCCATTCCCACTTGCCTCTATATCCGAAAGCTTGGGTGGATGGACAACTTTCAGTATTAAAAAATTGTGTGGAATGCCATCTGATCCAGCAAGGGCCAATATTTTGTAACCCAATTTTAGCCTACTGTAAAACCCTCAAACTTTAAGCTTTCAGAACTATATTTTAAAACGTTCAGGTCAGGCTTTGGTAAGTCACCATCTTTTGTCATAACTTTACTTTTCTAATTCTTTTTATTTCTAAATCTTCATCTTCTACGTTGTAAGGTGTATTATCTATTCAGATCTTGTCTTAAAACTCATCTTTTCTCTTTGGAATATGTAATTTTGTCTGTTTTTTTATTCAGTGAATTTTTTGCTCCAGTTTTCATAATTTTTTTTTTCATTAATTTTTTTTTTCTCTGTTTTTTTTTTTTTTTTTTTTTTTTGCTTAATTTCTGTGCATTGATTACTATACAGCACTTTGGTCGGACTGCAGCCATTTTTAAATGCATGTGCTCAAGAAATAAACCAACTTGAACTTGAACTGTTGTGATGAAGGTGAGAACTGACAATTTTACGCCAAGACTGCCACCTGGTGTTTAAAGTGTAAATTGCATATTTGAATTTTCACGAAGATATCTTCTCACATTCATGCAGGGCCGTATTAAGACAGGGTGGTGCCCATGGGCACTTTACCTCAAAAGGCCCCCTATATTTAAATATGTCAATTCAAAATGTACATCAATTAATTGACAGCGTCAATTCACATTTGCCTAACGTAAATAATAATACATCTATCAGCTTTCTTACCTTTACAGGCATGAATATGGGTCAGGGTGAAAAAAGTGAGAAGGTTTTAGGGGGGTCCGGGGGCATGCTCCCCCGCAAGAAAATGTTAAATATTCCATATTTTAATGCATCAATCTGATGCATTTTGAGATGCATTTTTTGCCAGCCTGGGGAGAGCTGGAGAAACTTAACTTCAGCCATGAGTCAAATATATTATGGCCTCCGTAGGCTATCGAATTATACCGATCCAATACCAGCTCAATTTCTACTCTGTGTTGAACTGATAATGACTATTTTGTATTAAACATAATCTACTTAATACAGACAACTTCATTATAAAGAAAAACAACAAATAAAAAATCAATCAATAAATATGATCATAAATGACAAAAAAAATCTATTATAAACTAGATTAGTGGGTAACTCAGCAGTAAAATTTAGTCTAAAATAATCATAAGTGCACAATATTTGTATAAAATCTGAACATTTAGTGAAAAAAAAAACATTATTTAGTGGGGAACAAATAAGAGACACTAAATCTGTTAAAAGGTTTTCATGTACACCACACATCATTCCTGTTCCCCTAAAACTGGCGGGCAATGCTCAGAGAATTCAGGGTCTGTATAAAACCCTCACAGTTCTCCACGTCATCCATTTCCACAGCATCGTCATCCACGTCATCCATTTACCCCACCCAGTCTTTGAAAAAAACATCTGCAATTTCTGCATTCAGCAATTGTAAAAGGTACACAGTTCTATTACAGCCTGAGGCAGTTTTTTGACATTCACCACACCTAAAACAAGAACAGATGTACAGTATGATCATAATGAACATGTTTATATTTAACAAATATAATATTTAACTTGTACTTATAATAGTACAAGTGTTGATTCAAGGCCAATACAGAAATAAAACAATTGATTGTGGTTTGCAGTAGGTGGTATGCCATACGGAAGCGTTTGCCATTGAAACTGCTTTATAACGCACCAGTGGGGCTCGACAGCCATTATCAAACGGGTTGGCGCGTATGGTTGGGTTGCGCGTGATCGTGATTAGGTCTCTGTAGGGGGGTGACTCTGGGACGCCAGAGTCACTGTTGAGCCCTCTTGAGGTGTCGTGGGCTAGTCGACGAAACACTGAGGATGGAAGGTGCCCACTTGAAGGCCACTGGAAATCATTAAAAACTTACTCTCCAGCCAAGCATAATGGGCCCGGTGTCTAAATTCTAGACTGGTCACCACATCCCTCAAGGCTGTACATGTTAATGACAGGGTAAGGTCGGCGGCATCTCCTTCTGAGAGGATCACCTCTAAACAAACCTCCTCCAAAACACTTTTTGGCATCTGAAGGCCAAATCAAATTTAGAAATGAACAATCCATATATGAACACAATTATTCATTTATTTATTTTTTTTAAGGTTACCTGTAAAAGCAAGGAAGTGCCTGGATCCTTGTTGAATAGATTAAATTACATATTGAGAAATTATATTTCCCCAGCAAACATGCTCAATGAATAACACATTTGCAAAATACAGCAGTGTTGTAGTACTCGAGACTCTGACTCGTCTCGGACTCGGTCTCGAGACCATATTGTGCATTTGGACTCGGAATCGACTCGTACTCGAACATTTTTTTTTTTAGGACTCGGAATTATTCCCGAGTCCACTCGAGTTCAATTCAAAAATATTTTTCATGATTATTAATGTATGTTAATAAAATATTTCTTTAAATTGATTGACACGCCCAGTGATTGGTGATTTTTAGTGTGCAACTGCGCATGACAAATTGTAATAAAATTACTTTTAACACCACCTACTATGTGGCCTTTTTACCCTAAACTGATCATATTTTTTAAACTCTAAGTAAATTTAAAAGTAAATTAGGTAATCAACCCTCACTGGTCTCGGTCTCGACTCGGACTCAACTGTCTCTGGTCTCGGACTCGACTCTCTATGGACTCGGTCTTGACTCGGACTCGACTCTCTCTGGTCTCGGTCTCGACTACAACACTGAAATACAGTATAATGCTCTCTATAGTGATGCTTCAAATACATTCCAAGGACTCAGGACGAGTCTCTAGCTTGCGGTGCTTCTCTCTGCCCTCTTAGTGTATGCATGTTCCTTAAAAACAAGGAAATTCTTAAAATGAAGGACTATGGTGAACTTATATCTACAGTTTAATGTTGTTTAAAAAGGTACACTTGACACTGTAACAATAAATTACTCAGAATTCTTGAATTGACACTTACTTGCATGACTTGTTCAAGTTTCTGTTTCCTTGGAATGCGGAAAACTGACTGAAGTTTCCCCATAACCACAGCCTTTGCCATGTCTGTCCAGTGAGCAAACTTTCTACCATGCCTGCAAACAGGGACAATAATGATATATACTGTATAAATATAAACTGAAATAACTTTTGTGAACATGTGCAGGTAGGGGCAGAATGGCAATAAATAAATAAATATTATATGTGTGCAGCAGACTTTGTGAAAATATTTGTCTATTTTTGTCATTCCTATGGCCACGACTATTCACTAGTATACCATTTTGAACAATCCCAAACCACATTATTAAAACTTATTAAAACACTGACCTGATGCACCCCATATTTTCCGGAAAATCTTGTCGTAGCTGTGCTGTGTTTGCATTTCACTATGCAAGCGTGAAATGAGGTCCAGTTTTGATCCAACTGTGTCCAGACCACATTCCTTGCACAGTTTACGAACAACATCAACCTGATCAAAGTAGGATTAGGAAAATACATTTTGATGTGCCCCCAAACAAATGCATGTGAAACTAAACAAAAACATATTTGAAATACATTATACAAAACAAATACCTTTTGGTTCATGAACTCCTCCATCAATCTATCTTCTGTAACATGGTAGACTTGGGACTCTTCAGACACCTTAGGAGTCTTAATCTTTCCAAATTCTGTGTTGAGCACCTCATTGGAGGACCTTGTTTTGTGCCCAATTCAAGTTGCCCAGAAATGGTAGGAGGGCAGTACCTTGGATTCTGGATTCTGATTATTACCTTTGAACACACAAGGTTAATATAAATAAATATTTCCGTTTTTTTTTTTTTTTTAAAAAAGCTTGTCATTTGAATTGAAAAAAAATAAATTAGAACTAAATATGAAGAAATATGAGATTGAATCCACAATTACTTGACACAAATCCCCATCCAATCATCTCCAAGGACACTGCGTTCCAAAACGCCTCAATGTTTACCCTTCCTTTGAAATCCTTTGGTGTCTCTTCAATGTCACTCACTATAAGAAACAAAATGAAATATAAAAAAAGAGCACTGAAAGGTTTAGATATTTGTCAAGTATGTCACATTTTCAAAAGTTACCAGCCATGGAAAAAACTATATGTAGATCCATAATAACAACAGGTGGATGGTCACCACATGAAGCACACGAGAAGTTGTATGTGTTGTCACAGAGGGCCTCAAAATGTAGGTATGCATGAAGACATGTGTCTGACGAAGGATACTTCACATGGTTAAGATTCTCCAGACTGTCAATAACTCGACTCACTGCAGAATGGGTCTAAATGACCGTAAATAAAATATTAAAGTATAGCAAATCAAATCAACAATGGTGGCGAGTCTTCCAATAACTACCTGTAGTGAACTCCTCAAAAAGAGACACAAATTGAGACTTATCAGAACATGGTCATTGAAGTTGTGTAGTTGATCTTTAAATTCTTGATATCGGTACATGGCACCACACTTGATGCACTTCTTGCAAAATGTAGATACCTCTGAAAAATATATTACATTTCAGAAAATACTTTAATCAGACAACATACAATCACGTTCCAAAAGTAAAAATTGCAGTAAATACAGCATTAGTGTCATTAATAAATTACTAATATTACCTTCTACAATGCCATTCATTGTAACAATTCTAGCTTTCGAAGTGATAAGAATCGGGTCAGAGAGTGGGCTCTTGTCATGAGAGAAGGTACAGAACATCTCATCTGAAACCAGCAGTTTAGGAAAAGCGTTGTCATGGACTTGACAGCAAAGCTCTCTTGGAAGAATGTCTGGGATCTTCTGTTCATAGAGGTATGTAACCATGTTTTTTAGCATTGTTCCATTGGAGGGGTAGTGTGTACCACCATCAGGCAAGTCATCATCAATATCTGGAGTAGTCTGGTCCACTTCAATGCAAGGTTCTGTGCTCTATTTGCTTCTGAAGAGTTTGGGGTACTTTTGAAATAGGTGCCACTTAGCAATGTACTTATGTGGACACGAACGTCGGGATTGAATGCAAGGGCAATGCCAAGAGTTTGTTCTAGCATTATACACCACCATCACTCTTCTTAAATGCGAGTAATAAGAAAACTTTGGTTCAAACACAGAAACATAATGCTTGAAAGTAGGCACGCCAACTGTGGTCTCAACAGACAAAGGGACCGATTGAGATGTTGCCAGACTTTGAAGCTTCAGGCACTCTGCCTTTCTGTCTCCTCCAAACCATTTCTTTGCAACCATCTCTGACAAAACATCTTCTTTTAGGTGCTCACTTTCAGCAGTTGATGAACAGTAGTCGACTGACCTGACATGGGAGCACTGAAAGGAGACCACCTTTGATTAAAGAATGGAACAAACTCCCAAAGGCTCTAAAACTCACTTTTGACCTGAAGGATTTTTCTAGCAATATAAGGAAAGTGCTATTGAACAACCAGTTGTGCCAGCATAGATAATTATGTATGTAAATATGACTTTTAGTGATGTTTTATTGAGGTTTTATTGATGGTTGAAATAGAGAATGGATGAATGAATTAATTGATAGTTGTATTTGAGTGACTAATTCTAACATTTTATATTGTATATTTTGTATTGTAATTCACCTGCTCGGGGACTGCAGATGGAAACTAGCTTAAGCTAAATCTGGTGCAAAGCATCTTTAATTAATGTTTTTTGCACATTGTCCCTGTTGAAATAAATAAATAAATGAAATGAAATTTAGCGTTGCGCCAATTCATGGTTAGACTGGCATTGAGGTGATTCACAGTATACTTGTTGCGTGTTACTCCAGATCTTTCTTTTGACATGAAACGGCACACTTGATCCGTGCATGGTTTTAACCACAGCAAATATCCCATTTAGATGATCCAGGCACTGGCTTGGCAGGTGCAAGTTTGAGGTGACATCCAGTGTGGACACCTGAATGCTTACGTAATATGTGTTACGTAACATGTTTTTTTTGTTCATACACATGTTGCATTTGGGGCAAATTACTGTTTGCTCTCTGCGAGTTTTTATGCTTAACAATGGTGCTGTTCCATCCTTTTCCCCAGTAAGTGGTTTTCTGACCTCTACTTTGGTGAGTGATGTCTCAGCCTCTTTCCAGTTCAGCGCTGTTCCATCGTCGGCTCCAGTGAGTGATGTCTCAGCCTCTATACAATGGTTTTTACTTAGATGATTGATTAATCTATTCTTATGGAAAAATAAAGAATACAAAAACAATGAAAGTGAGCTTGTGCCTTGCAACCAAGGTTGCACTTGTACCATAGACATATACACTAGACCTCACCTTGGATACGGCAGTTCATTAGAACGAATGCGTCAATAGAGCTGCCATCTTGAAACAGGGGAGCCCCTCCACTTTAATGCATCAGCCTAACGCAAATAAAATCACCATAAATCATCATGAATGCGATTTTTCTTGTTTTTTTGGTTTGTTCCAACAGTCAGACATGTATTTATCATTGATTCCAGAAAGAAATTTTTTTTTTTTTTTTTGTAAAACATTCTTCCTAGTTCAGATTTCATCCGTGAACTTCATACGCTGCACAAAAGTCCGCCACCATCAATGAATTCGAAGTAAAGGCAGAGATAGCAGCGTTATAGCTACTTCCTATGACAAGACCCCTGTTCCAAGATGGCGGCGGTTTTGACGCATGCTTAGACCCCCCAGGTGAGGTCTAGTGTATATGTCTATGCACTTGTACATGCAATAGCCTGTGGAAACAAACCCAAAAAACATTAACCACAGATTCATAGAATATACAAATAGCGTATCACTTTGATAAAATGTACCCACCTTTGTATTTTACAGATCTCGCAAGGTGAGCCTTTAAATGACTGATTACACGGTATCGGTCTGTGGGTTTAAAAATTTTGGAATGGCACAGCGGGCAGTGATACCGGCTGCAGCACTGTATCAGTGGTAGCTCCGTCCCTTTACACACACCAATGTGATGTGCCTAAAAGAAAAGGGTACTATTGATAGATTGTTTATGTAATAAGTATAGTGACACAAATGAAATACCGGTAGTACCTTACAAATTATAAGAGTTTACAAAAATCCAATTAATAACTTAAAAAAAAATAATAATTGCACAATGTAGATGAAAAGTTATGTGTGGTAGATGGACTGTAAAAAATAGTCTGGTAACAAAAAAACAAACAAACAAAACTTTGCAACCTAGCAGCCTAGCTCTAGAATTGAGGCACAACATCTAGTTTGTGCATTTGAATTCTTCTGACATGCCCTATAAATCATCGACAGTTCATTATTTTTTCTTACCGCTGACATCTCTGCATGGCGCGAATTTGAGAAGCGAATGACTATAGAGAGAAATGACGTCAATTTGAAAAGTGAATGACGATACGAAAATGACGTATGCTGTCCTTTGGACTGCACGTAGCCCATCCACTTGGCTTTATGCACAGCTGCACTTCTTACTGAACTTAAGCCAGCTCCTTGTTTCCTGTCTGCCATTATTGGACAAATTGATTAATCCATGTGTGCCTGACCTCAGTAGTCAAGGCAACAATAATCAGACACACCTGAATTAATCAAGTTTGGCCAATAATGGAACAGACAGGAAACAGGGAGCTGGCTTAAGTTCAGGAAGTAGTGCAGCTGTGCATAAAGCCAATTCAGAGCTAAATCGTGACTAGGCTACAGATCGATCATGTCATCACTATATGACACTGGCCCCTTGTAGATATTTTTACCAATGCAAACACGATGGGATAATGCGTTGCATGCCCAACAATTAATTAAAACTACACAATTAATCAGTTTCGACTAGATATAAATAGTCGGGCTGACTATACGAGCTACAGGAAATGGAAATGTTTGTCCGAGCAGTGTTTCAGAGTGCTCCGTAACAGTGGAGCGAATAAAAGCCAATGATAGTTATCAAAGGGTCCCAGATGATGTGCCCCATTCTCCATTTAATTATGAGCCTTCAGTTCATCCTGGACACAATGTTTGTGGTAATACCAGACTTCACTTTAATCTACTAGAAATAACAACTTCATAAAAATCCAGAAAAATCCAGAATTAACATTGGAAGAGTTCAGATGCAAAAGCCTCTAAGTGCCATTTGAATTTCTCTTCTAGAATAATCATTTTTATCAAGCTTGTATATTTAAATTCAGTAATTTCACTTAAATGGCAATTCATAGGTAATCTTCATTGCCATTTAAGTGAAATTACTGAACTTAAGTGCACGAGCTTGATAAAAATTAACATTCTTGAAGAAAATTTCAATGGCATTTAGAGGCTTTTGCATCTGAACTCTTCAATTTTATTTTGCCAGGGAGAATAAAATAAAAAATAATACTTGTAAATTAGTTACACAATTCATGAGCATGAAATGGGGCTGTCACGAGGTGGGTGCAGGCAGAAGAACAAGCAGAGTCCAAAAAGCTCCAATACAAAAGGTTTACTCGTAAGTAAATCGGGATACAGGCAGGCGGAACACAGAGTAACATACACATTGACCGACAAAGACAGAATGAAACAGAGGGAACTAAATACACAGAGGAATCAGGCCTAATGAGGTGCAAACAGGTGAAACAGATGAAACAGGACGCTGAACGGGAGGCTGATGAGGGAGTGAGTTCAGGTGTGCAGACGAGAGGATCATGGGAAGTGTAGTGCAGGAGACGCAGACAGGATGGGGCATGCCTATTTCACGAATTGTTGTCTATCAGTCTGCGGGTGTGAAATGGAACTTTGTGTTCCAATTTGAAGTTAGGTCCCCAAACTGGTAATGGCACTGCAAAACTGAACATACCGAACATTACACACTTATTACATACAATTACATAATTCCATAATGTCCTGTTATTGTCATAGTCACATCATAATATTTTCGTTTTTGCTTCATTTCATTTAGTTTCTGTTCGAAATAAAGTCTTCCAAACACAAAGTTCCTTTTCTCTCTGTCCTTTTATTGAGCATAATGAATGAATAAAACAAAAAGAAGAAAGATCAGCGCTGAGGAGATAAAGAGCAAACATATTAAAGAGCATTATTTACAAACCAGTTATTCAAAAATGGAAAGCATTCTACGAAGGCTAGAATGCTTTCCAGAAACGAGAAGTAATTTGGGTACCATGGCCAGAGACCATGTGCTCAGGAAGGCCGTAGAAACGAAACACAGAATACAGTAGGTGTTCGACAGTCTCTAAGGCTGTGGGAAGCTTTGGTAATGGGATCAATCGACATAGCTTAGAGAAGCGATCAACCCTATTGCCCTGTGATATTGGGAAGTCAGTAATAAGTTCAATGTGAGACCATGGTCATCGGGGATTAGATAATGGTTGAAAGAGGCCAACAGGAAGTTGTCTAGAAGGCTTGGTTAAGGCGCAGGTGTGACGATTATTATTATTTTGAAATTGGACGATTGAGAGGCGAGCAAGGTCTTTTAAACGAGCAGCTTCAGACTCTGTTGTTCTCTTGTGCTCCGCATCACACCACATGATAACGCTGGATAAAAATAAATAAAACTTGCGTGCCGTTGTAGTTTACACAAGACTGGCGGGACCTTTATTCTGTTATGTGGTTTATTTTGATAGGCGAAACTGTCTTTGTAGTATAGAGTGCCGAAGTTACAACGTCACTCTGTAGGCCAAAACGCGGAAGTGAGTTAGCATTTTAGCACTCCGGGTTCCCTCGCTCTAAAGCCTATGGGATTTTTGAATGTGTTTTTGCTAAATCGCCTGAAATAAGGTCTGTGGTGAACAAAGCCTCTAATTATTTTCATGTTGTATCTATGACATAGAACACACAGTTATTACCTGCTTGTGTTTTTTTAAACTTTATTGTGTCTGATTGTGTTTTTTAAAATATTTATATAGGCTTCAAAATGTATAAATTTTGGATTAACTTGTAGAGATTATCTTGATAGACAAAACGTGTAAGGGTCACAACTCTTTGTTAAACACAGATCTTATTTTTTGTGATTTTCCAAAAGTCTATGGGGAAAATGCATTGCTTTTCGCCCGAGGGAGCCCATGCGCCGCTAGCTTCCGAGTTGTCCAACAAAGTGACGTCATCACTTCGGCACTCTATTAAGAGAAGGAGAACTAAAGTTTTGGGGTTTTTTTGTGTGCCTCCTTGTGTGTTCTTAAAGAGAAACATACATCTTTTCAGCTTGCCACTATAAATCGCTCTTTTCTGCACTAATCTAGTGGATTTTCCCCAAGATATATTCAGAGATGATAAACAAGATTTTATAGAATAATAATTTATTGAAAACACAAATTTGACAATAAACTGACATTCAATCTATTTTTAGACTTTACTGAAAACGTACAGGCGCGACATCCGACGGTTTTTCCCAGATCGTATCACAAATGGAGTATTTCCCTTTTTCAACTGTAAGGTTTCTGTCTCAGTGCCTAAACAGCAGTAGTAATCTGTTTCACATTCTGGTCTTCTGTTTTAACATTCTATTATTATAGTCAAGTTAAAGATGCCACACTGGGCAGAGCCTTGCCTCCCATGACTATAGGGATCTTCGCCCGTGACGTCACGACGCGGTTACATGCGCTCTGGTTGGCAGAAAAGTAATGGCCGTTTGCCGCATTTAGTATTATAAAGACAAAAGTTAACCCAAAGATTGGGTACTGTGTATGGTGTATCATCTTTGTACACATACCCTTATAGATTAAGGGCAAATTATTGTATTTTCTTTGATACATTTTTACGTATATGTTGACCAATGTTAAGATAAATCAGAGGTAAGATAAATTTGATTCAAAATATAGCCCATGGACAAATTACACCTCTATTTTACTCTAGTTGTAACAAATTGACCAGTTATCCTTAGTTAACACAAGTAATATTCGTAATTATGACTTATAGGCATCTAAAGATCTGTACGCCTTCATTGACTCTCTGGTAAACATAGATGGCATGTCGATGAGATACAGGTAGATGTCGCCGAATGTCAAATCTGGCCATGTGTTTGGGCTTTTGCTCCATTTCTCACTCAGGTGATATGGACCAGGCAGAGAACATGAACACTGGTTGCATAAAAGCTTATATATCATTTTAGCTTCTTCGTACAAAGAATTATCATTTTGCTGGCAGAACACATAGACTGCTGCGTATGTTTTGGTTCTTTCTGCCAACCAGTTCGCGCCCACAAACCATTTCATGACGTCACATATGACGCCGTCGAACATCCCTATAGGGTGTGAGCTGTGATGGTGAACATAATGTCACCAAGTACAACATGTTCCTGGATCAACATCTTTGTTGATCCTACAACAATATATCCGATTTGTAGCTCCTGTTTACAATTTATGTCAAGTTTAGGCTTGTTAACTGTCAGATTTGTGTGACAAGTTTACAGCTCAAGTTTAGGCTTACAACCAGGGTCAGGTGGTTCTGCACCATTTTTATTCACCTACCATTTCTACCATGGAACAAGGCAGAAACGAAAATAGTATGATGTGACTGACAATAACAGGACATTGTGGAATTGTCTAATTGTAGGTAATATGTATGTAATGTTCGGTATGTTCAGTTTTGTAGTGCCATTCCCAGTTCCTTCTCATTAGTCAACTTCCATCTGACAAAGATTTCTGATGTTTCAATCACATTGTCTTGAAGCTCCCTCCCTAACTTCAAATTGGAACACAAAGTTCAATTTCACACCCGCAGACTGCTTGACAATAATTCGTGAAATAGGCATGCCCCATTTCATGCTCATGAGTTGTGTAACTAATTTACAAGTATTATTTTTTTATTTTATTCTGCCTGGCAAAATAAATGTTAATTCTGGATTTTCTGGATTTTTATGAAGTTGTTATTTCTAGTAGATTAAAGTGAAGTCTGGTATTGCCACAAACATTGTGTCCAGGATGAACTGAAGGCTCATAATTGAATGGAGAATGGGGCACATCATCTGGGAAATTATCAAATTATACTTTTTGTTATGGGCAAGCATGTGGCGGT